ATAATATTTCTACAAGGTTGCTGAAACATTGTCGGCGAAATATTACAATTGAATGTCTCTGAATCGTCTCTGCAATATTAAGTACATTGCAATTTACAACGTTGCAATGTTTCTGAAAGGTTTGGTGCCGTATGGGATGGAATGTATGTACCAAACAGTTGTCAACAATCGCCTACCAGTCTCGCTGTCGAATCCGTCGCTTCACCCAAAAGTGAAGGCGAATTTTCTTACCGAAATCAAAATGTGATCTGTTCAGGATGTAAACGCATTATTTCTTCTTCCCTTTGTTACGTGTGCACGTACCCCCTGGTCAGACAAACTACTCGAAGTTCACCGTGGCGGTGGGGGCCGTGGGGCTCGCCGACGGTCAAGGCCGCGCGTGAAAAATCGCGGTTGGTAGAGGACTCGAGTGGCGAACGAGCGCGGCCAATCGCGCTCGAGAATCGCGCGGGGGTGAATCTCTGTGCGCGGGTGTGTGGGTCCGACTCGCGCGCCACCTGCTGTCGCGATCTCCTCCCGCGCGGACGCTGCGCGTCGTCAGCGGCACGCCAGTGTTTACAATTCAAAGTGACTCGGAGGCATGGGGGATCGATAATCCGTGCTTTGCATAATCGCGTCAATTCGTTTCTGCGCCTAAGCATGCCGTCACGCGGCGAGGACATCCTCAAGGGCTTTCAGGTGTATCCTTTGATCTGACAATTAATTTAGGCGCGATCGCGCGCTCCGCGGTCGCCTGACGGAACTTTATAGGTTAGAGGCGAGACGTCGAACCCAGAGTGCGTCCCGTTTCACGCACGATGCGCGTAATGCATCGTTCATCCTCGTTACTTTCCCCGATGTTGAATAGAGATAAATTATGCGCGACATGCGCGAAACGGAACGCACCTTCAAACGGCTCCCGCGTGCTTTTTCCTTGTGACCGAGCTTCTTGTACCCTTTTGCCCTCCTGCTCGCTCCTAATTGTCTACCTTGCTTTAAGCGTTGGAAGAAAAATAACGGTACGGGTCTGCGACAGACCTCTAGAATGTCTGCTCGCCGACTCGAACCCCGTGCAAACGGATTGGTCTCCTTAATTACGCTAATTCAGTAATTGGATGAATCTGCGCGACGCCGACAGCGGCAAGATTCTCTGGCAGGGCAACGAGGACTTGTGAGTAGCGGTCGAATTTTTCCTCCGGGCGGCTCGTCGAAAGACAGCGGCAGAATTCTTGAGCTTCCCCGTCCGATTACAGATCAGTGCCCGAGGTGGAGCACGAGGCGCGCGTGCCGAAGAAGATCCTGCGATGCCGCGCGGTGTCGAGGGAGATCAACTTCAGCTCGGCGGAGCCGATGGAGAGGTTTCGCCTGGAGCAGAAGGTGCTGTTCAAGGGACGCTGCCTGGAGGAGTGGTTCTTCGAGTTCGGATTCGTCATTCCGAATAGCACCAACACGTGGCAGAGCTTGATCCAGGCGGCGCCGGAGAGTCAGATGATGCCGGCGAACGTGCTCAAGTAAGTGGGGAGGGGCACGTCCTTGCTGTTTTTTCCCCCCGTTCGATCTCGATTAATTGCTTCCCTTTGCGAACAGCGGCAACGTCGTGATAGAAACCAAGTTCTTCGACGACGATCTCTTGGTGTCTACCAGCCGAGTCCGTCTCTTCTACGTCTAAGGCGATTTACCGAATGGTCCTAACAATCGTGCACAACGTGGGACCAAGCCCAGCATTGACAGACTACGTGAGAGTAGAACGACGCACGTGTGAAAAATCTCGTACGAGCCGGTCGGCTTTCGGCCTTTTATCGGATACTTTTTACGCATACGTTAGCGATACAAACTCGTAATTTTGTGGAAATCTACACGTTTAGAGAGAGAGAGAAAGACAGTTACGCAAACAGACCGATACAAAATTTATATCAAAGTTTCGTCGAGCAATAGCATTTTTTAAACGGGGCCTAATGTACCTGGAGAATATGTTTTTCACTCTTGAGGACACGAGGGATGCGACCTGCACCGCTGAAGCACGTAATTTATTTGTTATTTGTTAAGTACGAATAAACGCAATAAGTTTTGTACATATTGTAATACACGACACCGCGAGCAATAAAGTTAAAAAAAAAATCTTACACTCTACGTGCGTTATTTTACTTTTGTAATATTACTTTTATAGTATATTCCTGAAGTTGTCGCCAGAGAAAATGCCAAGTTAATTAAACGCGGCGTTCAACGTGTCCTCGGGACGCGCGAAGACGTTTAAGTCTTGCCGCTTAGCGAACAGCCGAGGGTGCAAAGGATTGCCCGCTGTCGTAAAACTGCGAATCCGCCAAGTGATTCGTCGCGAAGTGAGATCGACGAGGGATCCACAGCTTTCTTCATCGCACGGTCGTGCTATAACAGCCGTGCGCTATTGATTAGCGGTGTACAAGCAACACATTTTTTAGGCTTCACCACACCCCTTGAGGGAGTTCACTTTGAGTATACTCTGTCCCCTACTCTGCCTGCACGCGTTGAACAAGTGTGTAAGGAAAGGAAAGGCAAAAAAAAGCGAGCGAAGAAAACGGAGGACGAGGAAGCGTCGAGGAGTCGGCGCGCAGTTAGCTCGAATGCGAACGGACTTCCTGTCGGCCCTCCGAACTTCAACGTCACGTCGCTCGCTTCGCGCGCGATTAATTCAATTATACCCGACCAGTCGGCTTCCCTCGGCGGAGAACCGGGAGTCCTCGCGGGATGGACCTGAACGAGGAGGACGAAAGCGGTAACGAGGGCGGCAGGCAGCTATTTCTGGTCGGCGCGCCGCGCGACCCGCTGGTGTCCGCCGGCGCGCTCGTGGCGTCGTCGACGAGCGTCCCCGACGACGTCGGCCAGGCTGACGATCTGCAGTCGAGCGCCCTGACCGGCCTGATCGGCGGCGCGCAATCCACCTCCGTCTGCTTCCCTGGGAAATTCAGTAAGTGCACGACGCCGCGTGCCAACCCGGGCCTGATTTAATTAACCGCCTCCGACGGCTCCGCCGTCGGTGTCCCAAGTTGGGGTAGAGTGTCGCTCAATTAAGTTATTGCTAAGTGCATTAAGTGGATCCGCAGTCAACCCTTTTTCTTAAATAGAGTTAGCGGTAATCAGTTTAACAGTTATGAAGCGTTTGCCGCTGCCGTCCGAGCCCGCGGAGCACCGCGGCGTAAAATCCGTCACGGAATCGCCTCGTGATCGGATTCTCGCGCCGCCCCGACACTTATGCGAATCTCCCTCCGGCGTTCTTGTACCGTGGCGTCGAGACGATCCCGCCGGAACGTCGTGTCGTCGCGACGATTAAACTGTGTCTTCTCGTAGCGTATGATTTCTCGGCCAGCCCCGAGGGCGAGGAGAGACCGTCCTGCGTCATCGGCAAAAGGAAGCAGCGTAGGTACCGCACCACATTTTCCAATTTCCAGCTGGAGGAGTTGGAGCGCGCCTTCCAGAAGACCCATTACCCCGACGTGTTCTTTCGGGAGGAACTCGCAGTTCGTATCCAATTGACAGAAGCTAGAGTACAAGTAATTTCCGCATATTTTCCCTAACAGTATTGTGTACGCACGCTGGGTATCTGGACTCGAAGATACTGGTGACATTACGAATTTTCCTTGCGCGAGCAGGTGTGGTTCCAAAATCGCAGAGCGAAGTGGCGCAAGCAGGAGAAGCAGTGTAAGATCGCAACTCACATGACCTCGTCGCACCTGCCGCCGTCGGACTGCCAGGATATGCAGCAGCAACACCAGTCGCAACACTCGGATCACCTGTTACTGGAGTCACCGTGCAGCCCTATATACCTCGGCATGGAGTGGGCAGGTTTCTCTCCTTACAACAACACCGACAGCGCATCGTCCCTCATCGTCAACAACATGAACAAACCAACGGAGGCGGAAGCTGACAATAATCCACTGCTCGATCCCGAGTTGCTACAATTAAAGCCTCCACGTTCCTAATAATATTTAAAAAAATATATATATAGCATAACATATATTATTTGTAATATGGATAACATTCCATACTTTCTGAGAAGTCACTGAGATTTACCGAGTATAGCAATTAAGATAACTTGCAATATAATTTTAACTGGAGAATACATGTGCGCTGCGCGTAGAGCATTTGCTGCTGCTTTGTCGAACATGTCGAATGAAATTTCCACGACGAAATTAGGATTTTAACGTTGCACGAGGATGCAATATTATTTAGAGAACGACTGTGCGAGGCCTTATTAAATGATATTAAATGTATATTTAAAGCAGTGTGAGCCGTTACCTGATAGACGGTAATAAATCAATAATATACGAGAATCCTTGTAGATAAGTATATTATATAAAAGATTAAAACAATGAACGTTTCGGTCATCGCATGTGACCCTCTTCAGCAAAATAATAAATAAGACAAGTGAAAAACATAATGGCTAACGACGCGTTATACAAGGTGAAGGTCTATTTTGCGCTGTCATTACAAGTCTATATAATGTAAAATAGTAAAAAAGTTATAAAAGACTTATCATGCCGGTGTGTTAAAAGTTACGCATTTGGAATGGTCAGTGACATGGTCCATCATCGTGTCTTCCAATCGTTGAGTGTGTATTGTCAGATACTTATCAGATAAGGTATCGGAGGGATATCTGTTAGATGGTTTTAAGTAAATTAATATTAAGAATAAATAGATGAGGAAACGGTATGTCAAATAATATATTAAATAATATAAATAGTTAAAAGATTAATAAGAAAAAAAATAATATAAATTAATAGTAAAAACAAGTAAAAGACAGAAGGAAGGAAATATTATAAGATTACGATCGGATGAAACCATGGAAGTATGTCAAAGCCGATTAACTGGTCGAACTGTTGTGTACAAAGGTATTAAGCTTTGACATACTTCCATGGTTTCTTCCGATCGTAAGAATCTTATATTTCCTTCTGTTTTTTTACTTGTTTTTACTATTAATTTATATTTATATTATTTTTCTTATTAATCTTCCAACTATTTATATTATTTTATATATTATTTGACATGCCGTTTCCTCATCTATTTATTCTTAATATTAATTTACTTAAAACCATCTAACAGATATCCCTCCGATACCTTATCTGATAAGTATCTGACAATACACACTCAACGATTGGAAGACACGATGATGGACCATGTCACTGACCATTCCAAATGCGTAACTATTAACACACCGACATGATAAGTCTTTTATAACTTTTATACTATTTTACATTATACAGGGTGTCCCAATTTAATGTCCCACCCCAAATAACTTTTTTATTTTTAACTGCAGAAAAAAACATTTCAGACAAAAGTTATTCGGTTCGAAGGGGGACACAAGATGATGCCATTAGTTTGACCTTGACGAGTTGCACGAAGGTCACGTAAAGGTCACCTTCAATTTTTTAAATGGAACCCCCTATTGTTCATTATACTATCTTATTCTACTAATTAATATAAATAATTTTTGCCTGAAGCATTTTTCGATTTGCCTAATACTTTGCGAGATATTCAAGAGAAAATTGACAACTTTTTCAATATTTAGCTTATGATATCTCGATAACTGTCTGTTGGAGGGAAAAGTAGTACAGGACTTTTTTACTTGATTTGGCTTCAGGAACACGCTGCTGTAAAAGTGTTTCAATATTGTAACATACACCAAATTTACATACACAACAATTTTCAATAATTGGAGCACTATTGCAACAGCATATTCCTGAGACCAAATCAAGTAAAAAAGTCCTGTACTACTTCTCCCTCCGGCAAACAGTTATCGAGATATCGTAAACTAAATATTGAAGTTATAAATTTTCTCTTGAATTTCTCAAAAAGTATTAGGCAAATAAAAAAATGTTTCAGATAAAAGTTGTTCATATTGATTAATAGAATAAGACTGTATAATAAACAATAGGGGGTTTCATTAAAAAAATTGAAGGTGACCTTTACGTGACCTTCATGCAACACGTCAAGGTCAAACTAATGGTACCATCTTGTGTCCCCCTTCGAACCGAATAACTTTTGTCTGAAATGTTTTTTTCTGCAGTTAAAAATAAAAAGTTATTTGGGGTGGGACATTAAATTGGGACACCCTGTATAGACTTGTAATGACAGCGCAAAATGGACCTTCACCTTGTATAACGCGTCGTTAGCTATTATGTTTTTCACTTGTCTTATTTATTATTTTGCTGAAGAGGGTCACATGCGATAACCGAAACACACGTTCATATCGTTTTAATCTTTTATATAATATACTTATCTACAAGGATCGTATATTATTGATTTATTACCGTCTATCAGGTAACGGCTCACACTGCCTTAAATATACATTTAATATTGTTCTTTTTCCAAATGAGCCTTTTCATATATGACCTTATTAAATGTTAACGACCCGTCGTTCGTCGATAACAAGTTATATCGCGATCACATTCTCGAATTAATTAAAGGTGATTGTATACATTTTGTAAAAGATGTATATATGGATTGTTCTGTTTCACAGATAAGTAAATTCTATTCAAGGAAACGTAACGAATTTGTATTGGGGACTTGAGCAAGTTCTCGCTATCTCCCGACAGATGATGTTACCCTTAGCCTTCTTGCATCGGGCAATACTACAGCCAATTTCATCGTGAAGCTCCACCATTGGGCACGAAATGACAGTATACTGTCATTTCACCGAAGTGTAAACAACAATATTTTTTCGTAGCGTTAAACATGTCGAATTTTGTGTCAAAGAAAAGAGTATTTGCGGGGAATTTTACTGCACTACTTTTTTTCAAAAAAATCTGCAGCTGAAGCAGATAGAATTCTTGTGGAGACTTACGGCGACTATGCTCTGTCGGAAAACATGCAGATTGTTTTAGACGCTTCAAAAATAATGATTTTGATGTTGAAGACAAAGAACACTCTGACGTACCGAAAAAGTTTGAAGACAAAGAATTGGAGGCATCATTCGATGAAGACCCATGTCGGACGCAAGCTGAACTTGCAGAATCATTAGGAGTCGATCACACAACAGTTTCCAAACGTTTCAAAGCATTAGGAATGATTCGAGGGCAAGGAAATTGGGTGCCGTACGAACTGAAGCAGAGAGTCGTCGAACGGCGATTTTTTTCACGTGTGAACAGCTGCTCCAACGGCAGAAAAGGAAAGGTTTTTTTGCATCGTATCGTGACTGGCGATGAAAAGTGGGACACACTCGATAATCCCGAGCGTAAAAAATCGTGGGGTAAGCCCGGTCGTGCATCAACATCGACGGCAAAGCCGAATATCCGTGGTTCCAAGCTCATGCTCTGTATTTGGTGGGATCAGCTGGGTGTAGTGTATTACGAGCTGCTCAAACCCAACGAAACCGTCACGGGAGATCGTTACCGACTGCAACTGATGCGTTTGAGCCGAGCATTGAAGGAAGAGCGGCTGTAATTTCGAGGAGAAACACGACAAAGTGATCTTGCGGCATGACAACGCTCGGCCACACCGTTGCAAAACCGGTCAAAACCTACTTGGAAACGCTCAAATGGGAAGTCCTACCCCACCCGCCGTATTCGCCAGACATTGCGCCTTCCGATTACCACTTGTTCCGATCGATGACTCGTGGACTGGCTGAGCAGCACTTCCATTCTTATGAAGATGCCAAAAAATGGGTCAATTCTTGAATAGCCTCGAAAGACGTGTCGTTTTTCCGATGTGGAATTCATACGCTGCTAGAACGATGGAAAAAAGTAGTGGCTAACGATGGACAATACCTTGAATGACATGTTCTTTACTAATTGTTTTAAATAAAGCATTCATTTTCACGAAAAAAAAAAAACAGCGCGAACTTATTCAAGTCCCCAATGTTATGTGTAAAATTACTCTTTGCAAGACGTGTTACTCCAATATAAAATAGTAACGTCAACTTTATTCAGTGTGCATATGTTACAAGTCAGTAAATTATTTATTAATTGGTTGATCCTAGGAGCGAACAAGCGGTCTAAGATGCTCTTCCCAATCTCTCAAACGTCACTTGCGAGTTCATTTCTTTTTCTTTTACTGGTGTTCTGTTTTTACACGACTGAATATACACTCTCGGAACTATTTCTTTGACGCACAATGGACAACAAGGATAGAATGACGCTTACAGCGCTGAATAGTGCTGACAGTGAGCTCCCCGAATGCACCCTTATTATCCTCGAAGTTGTCGAAACTAATTAATCGAATAAATTTGCCTGATCAGAGCTCAGCAGAATGCCACTTGGGACGCATCTCGAGTGAAATAAATTAGTAACAGACGTTAAAAGGTTACGCAATGTAGGAGTACTCGTCCGCGCTATTCGCCGTACGTTCGATATACTGTTTATCTATCAGAGTTTCAATGCACTTCTTTATCATCCCAATAGAAGGCGCGAAAGTAACCTTCGATTGACTCAGTACCTGAAACAATAGAACCACATTAAACGCCGTTACGCAAGGCAGCTATTGCGCGGCTAGTATTGAACTCTCTGAAGCTGCCAATTCACCTCCTGTATGAGTTGATTATGTCTCAGTACTTTGCGGCTCTTCATGATACGAACTATGGCCGCCTGCAAGAACATCTTCCTGTCCTCGTCTACGCTGCGGTGCGTGGCCTCCGCGTCCTGCGGCACGTCGCGCTGCAACACGCCCGTCACACGAAATTTGGTTCTCTTGTTGGAGTAACTAAAATTGAGCGTGAGAATGGTATCCTCCTCGAGTTCGCCGTCGTTAGACCTGTTGAGGATCTTACAGTCCACCAGGCTAGCGGCGTGTTTCACCAGCTGGTCGTGCGATAGTCGCAACGAGGCGGCCGCCTCCTTACACGGTATCGCGTCGCAATGCTCGAAGAGCAACAGCAACGCCATTTGGTACGTTTGCACAGTAACCAAATACGGTTTCTTCAGGTAATTGAACTTGAGCTCGCCCTGACTCAAATGGTGCAGCCACGTGAGCTTCCGGCCGCTGAACTGCATGTGATAGAACGCCTCGAACGCCTGGATGGATTTCTCCAGTTGCTGCGGAACGTGGAACGGGCCGGGCGATGGTGGCAGACCGAGCGGCCACGCGCCGGCCTGTAACACTTTGACCGCGAAACCGGTGCCCAACTGAATCTCACCGTCGCCCTCCCGCAAGGTCGCCGTGAACTTCGCGTTGAGATCCGCAGAGACGGACATGTCCGTAAACATGCGATGAAGCTTGTTCGTAAACTCGTAACCACACGCCCGTTTCAGATCGTCGATCATCATCTCCTCGGCGTCCATCGACTGCGACTGCTGATGTATCAGTCTCTTGGCCAACATACGCGAATAGAACTTTTGGAACACATCCTTGTCGTCCACGTACTTGAACACGGTTATGGAGCGTTTCAGCCTGTCCTCGATCTCGCTTTCGGAGGCGGCCCTGGGAGACTTCTTCAGCAAAGTGTCGCAATATTTCGCTAGCTAAATGGAAGATTCATACTGTACCGTACCTTATATCAATTAGAAACCGTGTCCTAAGTTGAAAATATCGCTTCTGAACAATTTACCAGTTCTGGCGCTCGGACGGGCTGCTTCGGAGCAGGCCTGTAATTTACGATTGCGGAGCAAGCTTTGTCGAGAGCACCTACGAAACTTTGATCCGAGCTGAACACTTCCTTAATCATTTCGGAATATTTTGAATGTACACTTAACATATTTTCCACAAACTGCATGTATACCTGAAATTAGAAGTTTACACCTTTCTGTGAAATTGAATAAATCTGCGTACTCGCCAATACCTTCGGGCATGCCGTTAGACTCACATTTTCTCCTTGCAAAGGTCCGATCGCTTGTAAACCCTGTAGTGTAATGTGACGAGTGAGATGTTGCACAAGCGGATCTAAACCTCCCGGCAAGGACCTCAATAATGGATAAAGAAGAGCTAAATCTCGCCGGCTTTCATTCTTTATCATCATCTCTGCCTCCGAGTGCAGCAAATCCACGTGGGCAGCTACCATTTTGTCCTCACAACAGGCTCTGACCTGCAACAAAACGTTGGCCGATGCACATCCATCGATTCTCAAGACTGTTTCGAAAAACATACACGGGGAAACGACAGCGCACTTTTGCAATAGAGCTCTTGTGAAGGAACTTGTAAGCGCGCGCTTCCTCTTGGGCGAGTCTCCACGTAACCTTCTCTATATAACGCGTGACATCAGACTGCTGCAGCAGCGACGACGCCTCCGACGTGTAAAATTCTCCGCTAGCCTCTAGAAACGGCTCCTCGAAAATTTCTTGGTACAACTGCAAGATAAGATTCGATCCAATAAAGAGTTCGGGAAAGGGGGCTTTGAAAGCCCATGTGTTTGTTCTTATAAAAGTCACACAGATTTGTTATGTAACTCATTACGTTTAATTTCCCCTTCATCTTGTGCTCCTCTACCCGTACGAAGCTCTCTATGACACCGCAGATAACTTCGGTCGGTGCGAGCATTTTCGAGTCTCTGTCGGCGTCAATGCACATAAGCAGGAGAGAGACGAGCCTCTCCTTGAGTGGTATTATCATCTTTTTCTTCCAGATGTCAAGACCCAGCTCCCCGATCTCCATCTGCTCCTGGCACTCCTCCTCCCGGTTGTGCAAACTCGTGCCATAGATGAGCTCCGCCTCGGACAGCTTCTGCTTCTTGATGTGTTGCTGATTGAGGTATAAGTACAAGCTGTGCAAGTAGTAAATACCCTGCGAGTACTCGGTCCAGGCGCGATAGTACGCCGGCAGCAGCTCCCACTTGTCCGTGTACGAATTCACCTGCACCAGCAGGTGGTCTACATGGTTGACCAAGAACCTCTTTGTCTCGTCGTACAAGCGGTCGGCCAGCGGCTCGGGATACGCGACGCACAGGGAGTAAACGTCGCTGCAAGTGTACCCACGTAAATGCACGCCTCCCCGACATCGGCGTCGAGCTAAACAAAAATTTCTCCTACCTGAATCTGTCGTTCCATATAGCGCGCGGGATATTCGCCAGAGTTATCACTCCCTTGATGGTCTCTTGCAGTACGTGCCACGTCTGATTGAAGTCCACTCTCTTGGGTTTTAGTGACATCCTTCCTGCCTTCCGATCGGCAAGGCTACTCGATAACCCGATCGCGACGGCGCTCACTGTGTACTACAAACCTGCAAAACAGCAGAGTCACTCATGCGGTTTATTTACATACGTGACCTATACCGTTGCCCGCTCGAGCGCGGCCACGAGTCCGACTTGTGCGGGAGGCGACGGGTCGGTCGCCGGACGTACGGATAAGGGCAACACGCCATCCCCGGCGGCCGCGTCGTCCCGAGTACCGCGATCCCACGGAGCACGGAGGGAGACTGCGTTTACACGGCTTTGTTCGTGCGTTTTGTGCATGGTCGGTTTAAAAATAACGTTAAAAGTACGATACACCACGTCTCGCGCGCGCGGGCGGGCGTGCACATGCACGCGCGTCCCACGGTCGCTCTAAAATCTCCCCCTCCCCTCCCCCCTCCCAAGGTGACACACGCGCGCGCGGGAGTCTTTCAACTCCTCGCCTCGGACCGACCTCGGGCGCGGACGAAAACCTCGGGTGGCCAATGGCGCGTGGCCGCGACTCGGGCAGCGTGCGTGTTGTGCACGCGTTGCGAAATATCGATTCGAGCGAAAGGGGGACGATCCCGTCTCTTCGCCGCACGGGACGCGGAGGAACCCGGGGGGAGCGACCTGGCGCCTACGTCTTGCGCTACGCGCGCGTGTACCCGACGCGGGGCGGGGAGGGGGACAGGCACCACACAGCTGACTGGCTCGGCGGGTCCAGATGGACCGCGTGTGTCCCGTGCGCCCGCGATCCGGCCTAACCAAAACGAGACGAGGCGCGGGAAGAGCGCCGCGCCAGCGCCGAGACCGCGCGCGGACCCTCCCCTCGACGACGGCGGCGTCGACGGCGACGGTGACGGAACGGCGGGACGTACCGGGGCGTTTATTTTTGGGGCGGGGACGCGAGTCACTCGCTGCTGCCGCGGCGGAACGACGCATGGCGAGCGCACGCCAAGCGCATTTTCCGTAGCCCCTCGCCCGCGTCAGCTGCTCCCGTTTCTCTTCCGCACGTCCTCGCGCGCTACTGCCTCCCCGTCCGCGTCGCCCGCTGCCTCCGCCGCTTCCCCGCGTCGCCGTTCCACGCTCGCACTCGGGGCTCGCACTGTGCTTACTCCCGCGGTGGCCGTTGACGCGTTGAAACCTCAATAACATATCCGCGGGCCGCGGCCAGCCGCGGCCATGCTCCTCGCGTGCGCGTGTGCGCGAGCGCGCGCTGCGCGGCCCCTCATTCGCCGTATCGCCGTATCGTCGTATCGCCGTCACACGGAATTATCGCGCACGTGTGTGTAGCCCCGCACGTCCGACGTCGCCGCGCGCACCATCGACGATGCGGTGCGCGTAGATCGCGCGGCTCAGGCACAGTTTGACCGCGGAGTAATTGACAGATGCGAGTCTGGACTAAATATATCCGATTTTATCGACAAATTTGATCTTTTGGTGCGAGTCCGGACTAAATATGTTCGATTTTATCGACAAATTTGATC